TGGAAGCTACCTAAGTGTCCATCAGGAGATGAATGGATAAAAAATGTATATGTGGTACATATACACAATGGAATATTATTCAGCCATAAGAAGAAAACAAATCCTACCATTTGCAACAACATGGATGGAGCTAGAGGGTATTATGCTCAGTGAAATAAGCCAGGCAGAAAAAGACAAGTATCAAATGATTTCACTCATCTGTGGAGTATAAGTGCAAAGAAAAAACTGAAGGAACAAAACAGCAGCAGATTCACAGAACCCAAGAATGGACTAACAGTTACCAAAGGGAAAGGGACTGGGGGGGATGAGTGGGAAGGGAAGGATACGGGGAAAAAGGGGCATTACAATTAGCACACATAATGTAGGGGGGGGCACAAGGAAGGCAGTATAGCACAGAGAAGACAAGTAGTGATTCTATAGCATCTTACTACACTGATTGACAGTGACTGTAATTAGGTATGTAGTGGGGACTTGATAATAGGGGAGAATATAGTAACCACAATGTTGCTCATTTGAAACCTGAGCATAAGATTGTATATCAATGATAACTTAATTAAAAAAAAAAAGAAATATCATACAACCCAGTAATTCCACTTCTCATTATTTACTCCAAGAAAACAAACCACCAATTCAAAAAGATATATGCACTACTGTTTATTGCAATAGCCTAGATATGAAGACCACTATGTGTCCATCTACAGATGAATGGGTGAAGAAGATGAGGTATACATGTATAATGAAATACTAGTCAGCCATAAAAAAGAATGAAATCTTGCCATTTGTGATGACATGCATGGATGTAGAGGGTATTATATTAAGTGCAGCAAGTTCGACAGAACACAACAAATATTGTATGATTTCACTTATAATTGGAATCTAAGAAATAAAACGAACAAAAAAACAGTAATAGACTCAGAAATACAAAAAAACACACTGGTGGCTGGCTACAAGAGTGGAGTGGACTGGGAGGGTAGCTGAACCAGGTGAAAGGAATTAGAAATAAACTTCCAATTATAAAATAATCATTTTATTTTTTAGTCATGAGCATGAAAAATAGAGTATAGGGAATATAGTCAATAACATTGTAATAACTGTGTGAGGAAAAATGATAACTACATTTATTTTACTAAGCATACCATAATGTTCAGTTGTGAATTACTATGTTATATACCTGAAACTAATATAATACATCAAACATTTCATTAAAAAAAAAATTTTTAATACATTACATATTTATTTTTAACTAACCACTTTACAGAAACAGAAGCTGTACATGTGCATTGTAAAACATCCAAAAAATTAAGACTTCAAATTCCCACCATCCAGTAAAATATCCAAAATTACAACAAACTAGAATTTTTTTTACCTTCATTTAAGTGACTCCCTAAGGAATTTCGTCTCTTGAGGAAATATTTAATTTTGTCTTGAGGTGGGATAACATCCACTGCATAAAGCATGACATGTGGATTAAATAAAATAATGTATCCAAATACAGAATAGAGCTACCATAACAATACAAGTATTGTTATTTTCTTTCCTATGATCTTGTCTTTAACTTTCATCCTTTCCCGCAACTTCTAAAAAGTGAGTAGCAGATATCTACAGCGAAAAAAATGGCATAATATTATTCTTTCCGAGGAGGCAGGTGGGGAATGTCTCCACTCCCAGTGCTCGAGATGAAGCCCGCACATTCACCGTACCAAGCTCTCTGGTCCAAATGCCCCATGAGACACAAGGCCACAAACCACACCACAGAATTTTATAACAGCAACAAAAAAATAATCAATGGTAACTACATTTTGATTTTATACTCTTCCACTTACAAAGCTTTTTCATATGAAATTTGCTCTTATAGATGGAAGAAGTGTGGCTCAGAAAACTAAAGTGACTTGTCCAAGTTTACATAGCTGATAGGAAGAGCTGGGAATTAAATCTATTAAATCTAGCATTAGAAGATCTTCATGACAAGGGTCTTTTAACTTGATATTTAGTGACATGCATATTATTCCCCATCTCTAGAGTCCCACTCACAATAAATGAAACACTCTTAAGTGTTTTTTCCACAAGCTACTTCCCTCTCCATCCTCTAACAAATGACTTACCTATTTGAGGAGTCACAGATCCTTTCTTGTGGGGTGACTCTCCACGAAAAGTTTCTTCTTGTTAAAAGGAAAATTCACCTTCAGTGGCAAGTGTGCCAGGAAATGGAGTATATAATTGAGAAAGCCTGGGAATCACTGCTTTTGTGAACTGTTGAGAAAAAATAAAATATCAAGAGTTTATATCTTCAATCCTCTCTAGGGATGCCTTCAGAATCAATCTCTTTTCCATTTCTTGGCAAAAGTCAGCACAAAAGAGGTTTTTTTTTGTCGAGGTTTCCAGTGAGGTTTAGTAATATTAAAATTACATTCAGTAGCCTAAATTTATTCTGGGGCCTAAATACATTTATTATAAACTGTTTCTATGTTTGAAGGCACTGAAAGAATCATATCGATGAATACTAAGGCTCCCATTCTTCTTACATACAGAATTCTCAGATTTCTCCTGCTTTCTTTAGCTAAAAATCCAAGGAACTAGAAGATACAAATTCAATCTAGCAGAGAACTTAAGGCAGATTATTTTTTCTTCCAGAGGTACCAAAGTAACTTTTCATTCAAATACCAGTCATAGAGCTAATTAGGTTAATGGGCTCCCTGTGGGTAGTGTATGCACAATGCTTTCTAAACTTGCCAGAATAAAAACCATAGCATAATGACTATAGATTTTAACTGGGATGCACATGGGAGATGTCTAAAAAAACAACCCCAGATTTAAATATGCCTGATGCAAAGTCCAAGAAAAGAAGACAATTTTCTGGGGCAACAATACAGGAAGAAATCTCTCCAAATTTTGGGATCACAATGGGTGTCTGGCCCTTATGAGGAGTTCACTATATGGGATCAGAGAAGGACTCCCAATTCTAGCTGAGGGACTGGCCTGTATCAGAACACAAACATAAAAACTGTATACAATTATTTTCAAAACCTGTTTAAAATGCTACCAAGGCAGCCAGAACATAAGAGGCCAAGATCTTATGGAAAAGAGAAATAAAACTGAGGCAAGTCATTGTGTCATTTTTCCTTTCAAAACATCTACAGACCTTTAAGAGGCACAGAACAAAACTGTTGGGAAGCCAAGCAGAAAGCAGCTACTTAGAGACACATAAAGTGAGCAGACATTTTGGCAGACTCACATGGCTGAGGAGACCCCAAAGAGAAGGGAAGTATGCACAAGTGAGCCTGACATTCTGCCTCTCAGCATTTGCTAATTGATAAGTGATGTAAACCAAGAAAAAAGCAGCAAATAAAAGCTGGCTGGGGACTTAAACAGAGCTTTCGACAGTTTCATGGTGCTGATGCAATGAAAATTAAGAGTTCAGGGTCCATCAAAAAAAAAAGAAGAGCCCTGGTAAATATCCCCTGCTTTTAGTTAGGACCTCTGAAGGGCTACATCCTAGGATGAAGGCCTAAAAAATCATAACCAAGCCCCAAACCAATTCAATCCCTCACTGGGGTAAGGTCTGCCGTACTTTAACTACATATCAGAAGCAAAAGAAAGCCTTCTGGAGAAAAATACCAGCATCCACAGCCTATAATTCTTTATACATAACATCCTGCATTCAGTCAACAAGGCATACCAGAATACAGGTCCAAAAACAGACCCAGAGGTGGCCCAGTTGTAGAATAGTCTTTAAAATTGATTAATGTGCTCAAAATTTTAAAGATTATAAATATTTTAACACACATCTCTCAGTAACTCACAGAAAAAGCAAAAAAAAGTGAGTAAGGATACAAAGATTTGAACAACACAATTAATGAACTCAACTTTAGTAACCTAGATAGAACACTGCACCCAACAACCGTGACTTCATATTCTTTTAAGGTACACATGAAACATGTTTACAGAAATTAACCATATGTAGGAAGTTTCAAGAAATTTCAACAAATGGAAACCATTAAGGACTATTTTGAAACTCACTATTTTGAAATACTATTTCACAGGAAATTGCAAAAACAGTACCATTTTTTATGAAGTGAAATTTACATACAGAAAATACACTGCTTTTAAGTGTATAAAATAAAAATAAAGAGCATTTTCATCACTTTACGGAAGTTCCCTCAGGTCCTTTTCAGTCAAGTCCCAAATCTCAGAGGCAACCACTGTTCTCAATTCTATTACCATAGGTCAGTTTTGCCATGTTTGAACGTCATACAAATGGGCTCAAATGGAATGTACTCTTTTATGTTTGTCTGTATTTACTCAGCATAATGTCTCCGAGATTCACCTACACTGATGAGTGCATCAGTAGTTTACTCCTTTTTTATTGCTGAGCATGACTATTCTCATTTTATTCCTATGCATGACTATGGTCCATTGTACAAAAATACCACAACGTATAATATATTCTCTTGTGGATGGACATTTGGTTGTTTCCATTTTAGGGATATTATAAATAAAGCTGCTATAAATATTCTTGAACAAGTCTTTTTGTGAACATATATTTCATTTCTCTTGAGTAAATAACTAGAAGTGGAACTGCTAAAGTACAGGGTTTGATGAATGTTTAGCTTTGTAAGAAACTGCCATTTTCCCAAAATGGCTGCATCATTTTATATTCCCACCAGTAACACATATTAGTCTTCGTTGACACAGCCTCATCAATGTTTGGTGTTAGCAGTCTTTTAGTTTGAGCCATTCTAGTGTGAGGTTTTGATTTGCCTTCCCCTGATGACTAATGATGATAGCTTTTTGTGTATCTTCTATTGTGCAGTGTCTGTTGCAAGTCTTTTGTCCATTTATTAAAATGTTTTAGTATTGATTTACAGGAGTTTTTATATGATTGTATATATGGTACCAGTCCTTTGTTAAATACATGTATTACAGATATTTTCTCCCAGTCTGTGATTTGCCTTTTCAATTTCTAACAGTCGTTCAATGAGTCAAAGTTTTTAATATTGATGACCTCCAGTTGATCATTTCTTTATATTTAGAGCTTTTGGTATCATTTTACAAATCTTTGCCTACTTTAAAGTCTGAAAGATATTCTCCTGTTTTTTTCTAGAAGTTTTATAGTTTTAGCTTTATGATCTACCTCAAACTAATTTCTGTTTGTGGTGTAATGTAGGGGTAAGAGGTTAATTTCCCTCTCACTTATTTCAGCAACATTTGTTGAAAAGAACTTCCCTTTCCCATTAAATTGTTACAGCATCTTCATTGATTGACATATAGCACAATACATTTTCAATTAAGACAGAAATCAATATAAAAATGATATCAGAGAATCCACAAATGTTTTAAAAATAAATAGCACATCAAAATAATTCATGGGTCAAAGAAGAAATCACAGTGGTAGTTTTTGACTCAATGCAATGAGAATTTAAAAGTGGTGGAATGTAGGTAAAGCTTTATTTAAAAAGAATATATTAGTAAAATACAGTCATTAATAAAATATATTTTTATATTACTATTAGCATATATAGTATTTATATATCCATCTCAAGGAAGTAGAAGAAAACCAGACATAACTTCAAAGAAAGAAAGAAGTTAAATAATAAGAGTAGTAATCAGTGAACTAGAAAACCATAAGAAAAGTCAACAAAGGCAAAAAGCTGGTTCTTTGAAGAAAACTAGTAACACTAATAAAGCTCTTTAATAGGCCCCCAAAAAGCAGAGCCAAAGGTTCTCATATCAACTCTCTTATCTAAGAGTCTTTTCCCTCCATCACACTAATTTCAGACTGATCAAGTGTCCCCATTTCCTCTATTACTCCCAAAGACAAGCCCAGAGCCTATTTTGTTTTTATTATTTACAGAGAAACAAATACAGAATAACAGAAATAAACATGGGGGATATTGCAAAGTTTCCACCATCTCTAAAATGAGGTCTTTGTCAGCAACATTATGAGGTTAAAACAATACTGATCTAATATTTGAAAATACAGCCTTCAAGACGTGAAACTGTCAATAAGGCTTTTTGAAATACTGATTTACATCCACTAAATTAGGAGCGACTTCAAAGTGCATAATGTGCCTTAAAAAGCAACTAACAACACTACAAAGAATATGATATGCAAGACATTTTAAATTAAGTTTCCAGAATATAAATATAAATCTCTCTATATTTTTCACTAATGTTAAGTCACTATGGTACTCAATACAATATTTATATAATAAGTATTTTCAAACAAAAAACAAAAACCTACAAACCATTGCAAAATAGTCTCTCTGCCACTGTAAGAAATTATTTAAATAATACACAAAAATCAAACATTTGTATTAATAATTTACCAATAATTAAATAATGCATAGATAAAATAGGCCATCAATCAAATTCATTCTGTAGTCAACAGCTGAAGAAAATATTGGTGGAGATTTGAGAAACTAAATATTTCTAAGTTATTCAACATGGAAAATTTATCAAACTCTGATGAAAGTACAGTTGTTTCTGTCTGAATAATGAAGAACATAAAGAATTACTTTTTTAATGAGCCACTAAAAAAAGAAGCACAGTAGAAAAAATATGTGTTCTACAAATAAATGACTTCTTTAATAGAAACAATGTTTTATGGAGAGCTTATTACACTGATTGAGTAGAGTGAAAAAAGGAGTTCAGGAGAGGATAATACCACACATGAAATACATCCATTTCACCATTCATAGGCAAGTTATAGAAAACAAGGTGAATTCAGAGGGTGCCAAGTGCTATAGAACGTGACTAGCAGAGTTAATTTAATAGAATAATTATAAAACCCTGTAATAACATGGGGAATGATCATGAATATCTTTTATACCACACAGTGGTTCCTTGGTTATTTCATATCATCACACCAGAAGAGTTGTCAAATTTTAAGTCACCATTTTTCAAAGAACTAGAGGAAATAATCCTAAAATTCACATGGAACCACAAAAAACCTCAAATAGCCAAAGCAATCCTAAGGAAGAACAAAGCTGGTGGTATCATGCTCCCTGACTTCAAGCTATATTACAAAACTACAGTAATCAAAACAGTATGGCACTGGCACAAGAACAGACCCATAGACCAATGGAACAGAAAAGAGAGACCACATAAACCTATGCATTTATGTTCAATCAATACATGATAAAAGAGCTATGAATATGCAATAGGGAAAAGACAGTCTCTTTAATTATTGGTGTTGGTAAAACTGGACAGCTACATGGAAGAGAATGAGACAGGATTAATGTCTGACTCCA